GGAGCGCCAGTGACATCACAGGTCCAGTCACTACTACTATCCCTATCCTTCTTAGGAGTATTATGCTGTATTAGGTGCTGGGAATACAATACAGTTTACTTGAGTAGACTACACACACACACACACACACACACACACAGAGTTAAATAATAATAAAGTATTCTATATGCTAATGCCAAGTAAGTAGGACAGAAAATGTGACCAGAGAAGTTGAGAGAAGGGCAAATTTCACTGAAATCTTGGACAATCAGGGCAGACTTGACAGAGGAGGTGAGGCATTATCTGGGCCTTAAAGGAAGGATAGGATTTTAGTAAGTGGTGAGAAAGAGGAGCAAAGACCCTGGAAGGGCAAGAGAGAAAGGTAGAGGGGATGGCAAGGAAGCAAGGATGTATGGAGTATGATCAGAGGACATGGGTGAATATGGTAACAACCATATCCACAGCCAGAAGGATATAGGAGTAGGAGAAAGTGGTAGGAAGACTTGGGAGAATCATGGCTAGGAAGACACAGATGAGAGAGGAGTTCATTTTCTTTTGAGAACACTATTGTCCTTCTGGTCTGCCAGGTTCATAACTTCAGATTCTTCCTCAACTCCTCATTTTTCCTAACTTTTTATGTATGTATCTTGTCTTTCCAAGTAGATTGTCTCTGGTGCATCTGAGATCTTTGATATCATTCCCTACACTCTCCTCTTTTCCTATTGTCTCTGAGAAATTATGTGTCCTTTCTTGCCAGGCAAACCCTATCTTCTTTACAAGATTATCCCACATCTTGCCAGTCTCCAGATCTCTCCCTATCTACTGGCTCATAATGTACTACCTTAAGATATGTCCACATTTTCCCCATTAAAAAAACAATACCTTCACTAGATCCTAGCATCCCCTTAAGTATTTGTTCTCTCTCTCTCTCTCTCTCTCTCTCTCTCTCTCTCTCTCTCTCTCTCTCTCTCTCTCCTTCCTTTTTCTCAGGCAAGGTCCAAGAAAAAGCTGTGTATACCTATTGCCTCTACTTCCTGCTCCCTCCCTCCCTCTTTATCCAAAAGCACATCTTCATGCAAACACACTCTGGCTTCTGTCCTCATCACTCAACAGAAACTGTTCTTCTAAAAGTCACCAATGATCTCTTAATCACCATATCCAGTAGTCTTCTCAGACCTTTTCGACCTCTTTGATGCACTGGACTCTTTTAATCACTTTCTCCTACTGGGTAGTCTTTGCTCTCCGTTTTGGTTTGTTTTTTTTTTTTTTTGGTAGGATTACTGTCTCCTGGTTCTCCTCCTACCTTTCTGATTTGTCCTTAGTCTATTTTGCAGGTGCATCACAGAAATCACCTCTTATGAATGTGTGTGTTCTCCAGGGCTCTGTTCTATGTCCTCTTCACTTTTCTTTCTACACATTCTCAATGATCACATCATCTCCCATGGGTTTAATTATCATCTTTATGCAAATGATTCACAGATCTATATATCCAGCAAATCTCTCTCCTGAACACCATCAACAACTGTATAATATACAACTCAATACTGAAGATATCTCAAATTCAGTTGTCTAAAACAAAACTAATTTTCTTTTCCCCTTAACCCACCCTTCTACCAAATTTCCCCATTTCTTTCAATAGTACCACCATTTTTCCAGCATTCTACCTTGATAATCCATGAAAATCTAATGTTATCCCCAGTTCCTCTTTATCTCTCATCTCACATATCCAATTAGTTGCCAAATCTCACCATTTCTACCTCATTTGCATCTTCATCACATATGACAACTTTTCTTTACATATGGCTACCAGCTTAGTTCAGGTCTTCATCACTTCTTGCCTGGACTATTGCAATAGCTTCCTCATTGTTTCCCCTGCTTCGAGTCTTTCCCTACTCCAATCCTCCTTACTGCTTCTGCGAAGATGTGATCATGGTACTGCCCTACTCAATAAACTCCGGTGGTTTCCTATTCCTTTTAGAATCAAATGTAAACTGCCCAAGAAAATGTAAACTGCTCCTTTAAAGCCCATTATACTTTGACCCCAACCTAGCATTCTAGCTTCATTATACTTTATTCCTTTTCCCAGACTCTACAATCCAACCCAACTGGCCTTCTCTCTGATCCTCATGGATGTCATTCTATCTCCCATCTTTATGCCTTTATTGTGGCCAAAGACCACCATTGTTGTAATGCCATTTGTCCTTACCTTATAATCCTTAGATTCCTTCAAGATTCAGCTCAGATGGTACCCCCAAGGTATGGTGTTCTTTCCTTCCTAGATTATGTGATATTGACTTGTCTTTGCATATTATAGCCTCAAGTAAAACATAAGCACTTTGTAAGCATGGACTGTTTCTCTCTTTGTCTTCTGTCCCTAGCCTAGCACAAAGCCTTGCACATAAGCATTTATGAAATAGTTACTGAATTGAATTGTATCAGACTTGCCTACCAGGATAGCAAGGAATGCTACAGAATTAACTGATTGGAGAGACCTTCACAGGCCAATTCCTTCTGCCTAATGCACTGGACATAATGAGCAGCGGACAAGGGACAATGTCAAGGAATGTGTTGGTCAGTTATTGTGGAACATACTCAGTTTTGAAAAGTGACCTAATTGTCTACAAATTGGATTTAGAATTGGAAAGGACCATAGAGGTTTATGTAGAGAAGTTCTTACTGACACTTAAGTACCTGGTTGTCATATTGATGCAAGCTTTGATTTTCTCTCAGCATCAAGTAACTTAATGAATGTTTTTGAAACATTTAATGTCCACATTTAATAACATTGTCAGTTGGATTAAAAAGGTGAAAAGCTTCAGAATTATAAAGTGATATACGTCCATACAGATGAATCAGAATTTTTCAATATTTATCCTTTGCATAACTTGTTTGTAACTGTTTGTTTCCTTATTTTCTCCCTCACTAGAGTGCAAACTCCTTGAGATCAAGGACTCTCTTTTGTCTCTTTTTGCATCCCCAGTGCGTAACAAAGTGTCTGGCATGTTGTAGGGGCTTAGTAAATGTTTATTGACTAGTGAACTGAATTGTGATTCAAAAGAATGATTGGGAAGCTTCAAAAGCTAATGTGGTAGTTTTCATGGAGAACAACATAGAATCTAGGTCTATGGAACTGAATGCTTATTGCCTGACTAACAATATAGAGAATAAATGTGTGCTTAGATTGAATTCTATTTCTCTTCCAAATACCTAAGTTTAGCTCCTAAGTAAAAATTTTAAAATAATAATGATAATACCTTGTGTTCACATACTGTATGATATATAATACTATATATATATATATATATATATATATATATATATAAAATAATAATGTCCTTTTTAAATCTTTACTCTCCCCCTCCAAAAAAAAAAACCCAACTGGTTGAACACTTTAATTCTGCTTTTGTTTGCCCAAAGGATGATGATTTAGTTTTCTGATCTTCATGAATTGAGAGAATTTATTATAGCTTTGCTCACTGAGAGTACCAAAATGTGCTTGAAATCAAAATAACTAAGTAATACAATTTCAGATGTCATGATTGATTGTGTTGAGCATGCATCAAAAATAGACTGATAAAAATGAGTTGTACAGATGTTGTTTTGCACTTTGAAGGCTTTGTTTTTCCATATTCACTAATTCAGTTAATGCATAATTAGTCAAAATAATTAATAGATGTGATTCATACTGAATCAGGAAAAGAGAGAATTTTATTTGATCCATGAAATTAGAGTTAAAATTTTATTGGCCATTTTCAAAAACACTACAATTTTAGGATTCAATCAAATTGTGTATAATATTTCCCTCCTTTTGGTAGAGGTTAAGTAGACTAAACACACTAAGCTTAAGACAGACACATTTTAATTGACTAAGAACCCTTTCACACACAAACTCAGTAATGAATAAATGATTGTGAGAGAATTTGGCAAATAACTGAGAGAATTTGATCCAAGACTGAGAGAGAATTTGGCCAGTGACTGAGAGAGAAAACAGTAAATGACTAAGAGAGAATTTGGTAAATGATTAAGAAGGAATTTGAGATTAGTACAGTAGAGTGTCCAGTGAAGGATAACCAGGAGATTGAAGGGTCTCAAGTTCATGGCTAATCTAAAGATCTATTGAAGGAACTGGGGGATGTTTAGTCTACAAAAGAGAAGACTGGGTAGGGGGGGTAGTATTTGTTTCCCTCTTCACATAGGTGAAGGATTATTCCTTAGAAGAAGGGGCAGAGTTAACAGCAATGAATGGGTTGTAAAATGGCAAATTTAGTTTTTATAAAAGGGGGAAAAACTTCCTAACAATTACAACTATCGCAACGTGAAATGCATTACCTCTGGAGTGAGGCCCCCTTCATTAGAGTTCTTCAGGTGAAGGTCAGTTGATTACTTGAGATTCAATATGTTAGGTAGTAGATTCCTCTCCAAATCTGAGTTAGACTAGACAAGAGTATAGATCTCTTCCAATTTATATTCTGAGATACTTTCTTCCATTCTTTAAAAAAAATTCTTTAATTTTCCTGTCACAAAATATCACATGCTTGTCTTTTTCTTCCCTCTGGTTTTCACAAAGGTAGTATGAAAGTTGACCAAATAATTTTGTTGTTGTTTTTCAGACTACAGTAGAATTATACCATCGTACGATGATGCATTGTGCTATGGGATATACTATATGGGATATAAACATACTGTATGTAAAACTGTTCAGTTTGGGGCTTTGATTCTGATTCTAATTCCCAACAAAGTATATTGCCCAAGTACCTCCTTTTCTACCTTTAGAAAATCAGAAATGCATGTTTGTAAATTCTGTTATAGCTACTTTTATATACATATTTTCTCCTCTTCATCATTTTAACCTCTGTAAAAGGTGAGATTGCATTTTACTCATCTTTTCATCCTCTATGGTTCTTAGTAGGTGTTTATTATTTTAAATTAAAAAATGATTTAATATGTTAGTCACATTATGAACTTAGGTATTCTCTAATGTAAATCACAACAGGCAACATAACTATTTTCCTTCTTTGTAGGCAAAAATTGGGACTTGACAGCAGCTCTGAGTGACTATGAGCAACTTCGACAGGTTCATACGGCCAACCTACCACAGGTGTTCAATGAAGGAAAATACTACAAGCAGCCAGAGAGAGAGCCAGCCCAACAGGTGAACAAAATTGAACGGCCCTGCCTTCAGAGACAGGATGACATTGCCCAAGGTAAATAACTGTAACTAGACCAAATTTATGAAATAAAGGTGAGATTACTAGCTCTGAATTATTCAAATGAGTGTGAGACAAGGACAGAATGACCAACCTATAAAGCCCACTCTCTATCTATCCATGCACACACACACACACACACACACCCTTCATCAAGTCAGTAAGTGAACAGATTGATTGAAGTATTAGCCTTATTATTTCTACTATTTTTCTACTAGCTGAGAATGCTAAGTGTTGATCTGGTTGAAAGGCTGCAGGAGGTAGTAAGACACAGGGACAAAGTCCACAAGCTATGATGCAGCTAGGTGACAGAGTGGATAGAGTGCCGGCCCTGGAGTCAGGAGGACCTGAGTTCAAATATGGTCTCAGACACATAACACTCATTAGCTGTGTGACTCTGGGCAAGTCACTTAACCCCAATTGCCCTCACCAAAAAAAGAAAAAAAAATCCGCAAGCTAGTGAAGAGAACCACAAGTATTATGTCATTGAAACAAGAGCAAAACTTTCAAATTACATAATCTTGGAGCAGAAGAGACTTTTTATTGGTTGGTAGAGCATTCATTAATCATTTTTTATGTGTTCGACACTGCGCTAAGTGTTAGGGATACAAATACAAGAAAGCAAGGTATTCGCTGCCCAAAAGGGGCTTATATTCTAAAGAAGGGAGATTATAGAAAAGGGAGCTGGCAGGGCATGAGGGTAGCAGGCTGTCAAAATGACATGGAGGTCTAGGCAAGAAAAGCCGAGGGCTCATTCATTAAAGCCCAGTAAACTGGGAGTAGCATTCAGGGTGCCAGAGTTCAGACAAAATGCTGTGGAGTTATCTGTGAAGTGATCAGTACATGGAGTTTATTCATTCATTCATCATTCTATTCATTTATTCATGAAGAAACTGATCCAGAGTAGTTTTGACACATACATTGTCATATAGATAGTTAATGTCAAAGACAAGCATGTAACCCAGAACTCTTTCCTGGTCAGTGTGTTTTGTTCATTTCTGCAGTTTAGAATACATTCCTCCACCCCCACCCCCAAGCACCACCATCCGGTTTTTACTCAAGACAAGAGTAACCTTAACCACATGTGTCACCTCATAAAAGATCTCCTTGAAGGACCTTTAACATTGGGCTTTTCACTACCAGATCACTCTTAAGTAACAAGAGACCCCAGTGTGCCTGGTTTTCAGACATGGAGAATGTGGCAAATCAGGGCTGCTATATCTTTAACACAATGCTATTTTACATTTTGAAATCTTACTACATCTTACAATCTCAGGCATTTTCTATCCTGATAAATATAGTAATTATTGGTCACCATCTGATTTTTTAAAGAAGATATTACATGAAGAAGATGTTGTATTCTGCCCTGGCTATAGTTGTATTTATCAAGCCTGGGTAATAATCCCATTTGTTTTTAATAGAATTCAAATTTTAGGGTTTTTAAATAGGATGTTCAAGTGCCACATAATTGGATTCTTATTTAGTCTCTCTGTTATGAAATCCTGGTGCCCAAAATGGCAACTAAGTCTTAGCATAGCGAGAGCTGTCGGGAGATGCAAATGTAGTCTTGACATTTGTTTTTGTCAGTCCTAAAGATGTTTTGTACTTCCCAGAACCAGGAACTTTGTGATTTTCAAGTAAGGGTGATACTGGAGGAGGCAGGCCCCTTTGGAATAACTTTTGTCATTATAATTTTCTATTCCAAATTTTACTCACACTCCAGAGTGGGGAAAAAAGACAACGCTGAGTTTGGTGTGTGTGTGTGTGTGTGTGTGTGTGTGTGTGTGTGAAAGAGAGACAGACAAAGAGAGCAATAGAGATAGAAAGATACAGAGACAGACACAGAAAGACAGATAAAAGGAGGGGGGAGGAAAAGGAAGAAAAGGAGGAGGAGGAGGAAGAAGGAGAAGCAGAAGCAGAAGAAAAAGAGTACATATGATTATTTGTATTAGGAACAGCTGTTTCCCATTAGATGGTCTTTTAACACTTGGAAGCTATTTTTTTACATCAAAGAGGCTGCCTCTTTCAAACTGCTAATATTTAACATTTAGTAATATTTAATAACATCATGTGGCACACCTCACACCATCCACAAATACATATTGACTGATGGTCCAAATGTGGGTCTGGATCAGAGAGCTTGGATGGATGAATGGACTCAACCTAGCTCATCTCCTCAGCTTTGGGGAGGGAAAAAAATCTCCAATTATGTGTCTTGTTGATGGTGAGTCAATTATATCATGTTTACATGGCCCCTAGGACTGTGTGTTCATTCAACGTGACTTAAAAGGTAGGCAATTTCTTTTCTCAAATTGTGAGTGATACCCTTATAACCCACATTTCATAGTATTATCAGTTTCATCAGAGCTTAGGATTGATGGAGCCTTTCCCCAAGACACTAACATCCACTTATGGGGTACCTCTTCCCAGGACATGTTCTCTCTCTCTCTCTCTCTCTCTCTCTCTCTCTCTCTCTCTCTCTCTCACACACACACACACACACACACACACACACACACACACACATATACACAACTATCATCATTACATCCCACCTTTCAATTCTCTCCAGTCCACATTTCATCTGGAGGAGCTACTCAATCCTCTTCCCCCAACCTTTGGGGGGCAGGGGTCAAGTTGAGGGCAGAGGTCAAGTGCAGGACTTCTCCCTTTCCCAGCATGAGTGAACCCATGGTCAACCTGCTCTTCATTGCCATACTTCCCTACCCCTACCCTACCCCATTTTTATGCCAGGTTACAAAATCATAGTTATGCCTTTAGGTTTCAAAAGTAGAAGGAATTTTAGAGATCATCATCTGTCTAGTCTGCTCATTTTACAGAGAAATTAAGTGAAGCCCAAAGAGCAGGAATTAACTCAGGTTTGCACAGGTAGTTAGTAACTAGTTAGAATTTAAACCCAAGTACTCTGAAATCAAGATTCTTTCTTTCTGCTTTTTTCTACTATAGTAGCACTTGTAATCACAATATTCCTTTTTTCCTAATCTATGAATGGCCAGAAGTCAGAACTTTTTTTCCTTTATAAAACTCATGATTGGGTCAGCATGCAGGACATGGGATCATTGAGAGCATAGATTTAAAGCTAAAAAGAACTTCAATGGCTATCAAATCCAACCCCCTCATTTAACAAGGGAAGAATTTGAGTCCTGAAGAAGTTAAGTGATGTGTCCAAGGTCACACAAATTAAGAAGTGACATGAGGGGTCAGCTAGAGTGTAATCCTGATTCTAGTTCCTGGAATCTCTGTCATTTTTCATGGAACTTAACTAGACCTTTCTTTTCTTTTCTTTTTTCTTTTTTTTGCTCTTTCTTGTATTGTGGTTATGTTCATGTATATCCTCCCTCTCCTTGCCCTAATTCCATCCCATTCAATTCTGAACTGCTAAAGAGATGGTCTTTGTGCCATTTGTCTTTGTATCCCCAAAACCTAGTAGACATTGTCACACATAGTAAGTGCCTAATAAATGTGAATTCAATGGTACTTACTCCACAGGCAACATGTAATTGACTTTCTATTCATGAAAACATAATATGAAACTCATCGGGAATATGAAAATGATATTTAAAAGTATATTTGCTTTTTGTTTAGAATAAAATATACCAATGTTGATGATTTTCCAGAAATTCCTATCTCCCTCAAATTCCAAGATGAAAAATATCTGAAAACCAGGTTTGTTGTAGATTGTTTCATGATCTCCTGCCAATTCTTAAGCCCCATCTTTAGAATATGTTTGACCAAAAATAAATTAATGCCATTTATGTCTACTGCTTCCCTTAACAAAGAAAAGAAAACAGAGAAAAATAAAAAGATGAAGAGGGAAGAGAGAAAGAGAGAGGAAAAGAGAGAAAGAGGGAAAATGAGAGGGGAGAGAGAAAGAGAAAGAAAGGGGGAGAGAGAGTCAAAAAGAAAAAAGAAGAGAGGAGGGAGAAAGAGAGAGAGAGAGAGAGACTCCTTTTCTAAATGACATCTTAATCTTTTGTAGTATATCTTTATGATATGCAGATGAGTGGAGGGGGTTGAGGTGGATCAGGGGGAATAACACAAGTAGGAAAACCTCTTGTTAACAAGTAATCTAATTTGAAACAGATGTTGTAGGACCATTAGGTCCCAAGTGTACTATTTTATGAGTTTATCATGGAGTTTTGAACAATTCTAATAATGAATCTGTGATAATTTCATTTGGAAAAAGTCTAAAAAAAGTTTGTCTTGTTAAAAAAAATTAACTAATTTTAGCCTATACAAGGAAGGGAATGTGTATTTAAATGTGCTATATTTCATGATCCTCACATTATAATAGTTGATTACTAAACATGAGTGTTTTGAGCCTTTAAAAATGTTTATATCAATCAAATATTTCTTGAGCATCTACTATCTGCAAGGCATGTGGTTAGGTGTTTTAGATCTCTTCTTTTCTCAGCCCTTCAATAGGTCCCTTCCTCTCCACTCACCTAGTCATCACCCTAGTTCAGACCCTTATCACTTCTTTTTCCTTAATAGTATTTTTCCCAATTACATGTCAAGACAATTTTAACGTTTATTTAAAAAATTTTTATTTTGTATTTTCCCTCAATTACATGTTTTCCCCAAAAACAATTTTTAGCATTCATTTTTAAAACTTTGAGTTTCAAATTCTCTCTCTCCCCTCTCCCCGCATTGAGAAGGCAAGCTATTTTATATAGGTTATACATGTGTAGTCATGCAAAACAAATTTCCATATTAATCATGTTGTGAAAGAAAACATAGACAAAAAAATCCTTAAGAAAAATAAAGAAAGTAAAAAATAGAGACATCATCAGTTTATTGTCTGGGGATGGGTAGCATTTTTCATCATAAATCCTTCAGAGCTGTCTTGGATCATTGTACTGCTGAGATTAACTAAGTCATTCATTGCTTATCATCTTACAATATTTTGTTTGTTTGTTTTTTGCTAAGCAATGGGGTTAAGTGACTTGCCCAGGGTCACATAGCTAGTAAGTGTC